TCAGCAGGAGGGATGGGGCTGGGCCAGCTCAGATGCACACATCCTCTCCCTTGTCCCTTTCCTCTCTTTTCCTGTCTCCTGGGGACCCAGGACAAGCCAGAGAGGGACTCCCAGGTGTCAGTATTGGGATGAAATGGGGTTTGGAACAGACTGCGTTACAAGGGTGTAGGCTAAGCTATGTTCAGCTTATGGGCATCCATCAGTAAGGCTTACTGGCTGTTGACATATTCAGCTTCTTGCATGCAAGGTGGTAAAGAGCTGCTGGCCCTAGGCCCACCCGGTTCTGGTGTCTTCCCCGCCACCCCTGGCCTCCTTCCAGAACTCTCTAGACCTCCAGCAGCTGGAAGGTTACCATCTGGCCCTGGGGGGGGCCTTCAGGATCCTATTGGCACATCAAGCTGCTATTATGAGCAGTCCTTCGCTGTGCTTCTTAATATTCCCTGTGAATATCTCCCCAGGGACAGGGAATCCTGGGGGGATGAGATTCCCAAGGAGGAAGAGGGTTAGGAAGATGCAACCCTGGCCCCTGAGTGCGGGGCGACAGAGCTTGATGGGAAGCTGGTGTCGACCGGACCCGTTGCCGTGTTCTCACCCACTCTTCTCACTTCGGTCCCAGGACCCTGCGGCCTGCTGACCATGCACAAAATGAAGAACTTTAAGCGCCGCTTCTCACTGTCAGTGCCCCGCACCGAGACCATCGAGGAGTCCTTGGTCGAGTTCACAGAGCAGTTCAACCAGCTCCACAGCCGGCGCCATGAGGGTGAGGGGTCTGCGGCCCTTCCCCCGGCCCTCCGCACCCTCCCTGACACACCGTGACACACAGCACGGCTGGCCTTGGGGTTGGCCTTGGTCGGGGAAGGGCAGTGAAGTCTCCTCCCCACCCCCGTGCCGGGGCAGAGGCCGGGAGGGTGGCTGACGCCTCTCCCTCTCAGGCCTGCAGCTCCGTCCTCTGGGCAGAGACCCCCAGCCAGAGTCCAGCACCTTCTCCCCCGCAGACAGAGGGGAGGACCCCGGGCAGCTGTCCCCTGGCATGCAGTACCGGCGGCAGAACCAGCGTCGCTTCTCCATGGAGGTGAGGGGCTCCAGGCTCTACGACACATCCACAGATGTATGCCCAGGAAGGTGGTTACCTTGGAGCCAGACTTCATGGGTTCAAATCCCAGCTCTGCCATTGATTAGCTCTGTGGCCTTGAGCAGGCTACGCAACCTCTGTGTATCACAGTCTCCTTGTGTTAAAATGGTCATCGAGAAGATTAAATGAGAGTATATGCCACATGCTCAGAGCATTCCTGTACATAGCAAGGGCGAGACAATTTGACTGTTGGTCTTATGACCCATATACATGTGCCCAAGTGTATGAAAAATATGCTTACAGAATCGCAGTGTCTGCAGGAATCTCATTCTACAGATGGTGACTCTGAGGTCCAGAGAGGGGAAGGGACCTCCTAAGGTCACACAGCAACCCCTGGATGTTCATGTATGTCTCAGCACATCTTTGAAGCCTCACAGCCCATGGTTCAGTCCTGCTGGGGTTGTTCACAGGGAAAGCCAGGCCCAGGGCCAGTGGCGAGGGTCCCACAGCCCTAGCTACCCTGGAGCAAACACTGGCGCCCCTGTCTCATCCTGGCCACTGCAGGACGTCAGTAAGAGGCTCTCTCTGCCCATGGACATCCGTCTGCCCCAGGAGTTCCTCCAGAAGCTGCAGCTGGAGAGCCCAGACCTGCCCAAACCGCTCAGCCGAATGTCCCGCCGTGCCTCCCTGGTGAGTCCCAGGAGGGTCAGAGGTCGCCTGGGTGGAACACCCTCTCCCCTGCAGGACATCAGTCCTGGTTTTGCCTGTCCCCGGCAGAGGCTTGCAGCCGTTTCCAGGGAGGTTTCTGGGCCTCTGGCGCCACCTTCTGGCCGAGAGGATTCCCATAGCTGGTCCTCTTGGTCAACCTCCATTCCCTAGTTGAGTCCCACCAGTGCTGGAGCTGAGCTCCAAGCCCCCTCTGGGTTCCAGAGTCTTCACTGGCGTGAGGTCAATAAACCAGCTGGCCCGTATTTCCAAGTCTTGGCTGCCTATCAGATTTCCCTGGGAGCATCGTACAAAACACAGATTATGGTCCCCAGTCCAGATACCTACAGAATCAAACTCTGGGTGGTGGGGCCCAGGAATCCGTATTGTTAAGGGTTGGGTACTACTGAGCTGGAGCAAGTGTGCTGATGAGAGAGGCTGTAGCGAGGTGGGTTCTGAACTGGACCCCCAAGGTACAGTGGAGAAAAAGGCACAGTTCCTGCCCTTGAGGGGCTTCTGAGCAGGATGGAGACAGACAGGTGATAAAGGCCTGTGGCAATCCCAGGACTACAACCCTGGGCTCTGCACCCACCACTGCCACGGGAGAAAGAAACTCACACTTCCAAGGCCTCCCTCCTTTATCACAGGGACAGAGAGAAGTGGAGAGGGAGGATCTGGGGCTGCCCTCACCCTGCTAGCCTCAGACCCCCTGGGGGTCTCATTCCCTTTCCACCTGGAGGCTGGGGGTGAGGAGGTGTACTCTATGTGGGACTGCTGGGGCCTTCAAGCTCACAGGACCCTATGTCTCTCCCTCTCAGTCAGATATCGGCTTTGGGAAACTGGAAACATACGTGAAACTGGACAAACTGGGGGAGGTAAGAGGCTGGGTTGGGTTTTCTCCAGGCCGCCAGGCGGGATGGCTAGGAGGAGGAACAGGGTCTTCCCCAGCCTTCCCCAGGCTGCGGTCACACTACCCCTGTCCCACAGATCTTGCCATGCAGTCTGGCCCAGCCTTTGGCAGGTGTTAAGTTGGGCCCAGGTCCTGGAGGAGGGCATGAGGATGGAGTGGCTGATGGGCTCTGGGGCAGAATCCAGTCTTTTTTTTCCTGCAAATATTTCTTGTCTGGGATCAAATCCCATCTCCTCCGTTTACCAGCTCTGTGGCCTGCTGTGAGCTATGTGACCTCCCTCTGTGCCCTTGGTTTCTTCCTCTGTCAAATGGAGATCCTAATTGTTCTACCTCATAGGGTGTTGTGAGGACCGAGTAGGTCACTATAAGCTTTTGTGCCGTGTAATTATTAGCTATTTCCGTAAACACTGTGCTGGGCTTTGTGTTCCAGGCCGGGGGTGGGCAGTGGTTTACAGAGAGGAGGAGGATGTGGCCCTTTCCTTCCAGGAACCCAGAGGAGACCTACACGTAAACATCAACAGAACATAAGGAAGAAAAAAACTGGTGTTATAATAGAGGGACACCTTGCCTGCTGGGGGCTTACAGGAAAGACAGTTCCTTCTGACCGGGAAGGAGTTAGGGACAGCTTCACAGAGAAGTGGGCTTTGGAAGAAACAGAATTTCAGTGAAGGGGGGGGGGGGGGGGG